TCTTGGCATGAAATGTCTGCATCCAACCAATTTAGCACTTGGTTACCTACTGTTACAGACGTCTCTGTAATAGTTACTTGTCACTCAGGCAAGAAATATTTACGATCATCTACTTATTTTGAGTCCCTGGGCTAGGGGCTGAGAATATCATGATGGATAAGACAGATTTATCTCTCAAGCTAAACTCTGTTCTTTATGGCGTATGTTTTTAAATGCTTTATCTTTAATCCCCATTTAGCCTCCAAATTCTATTAATCTGAAGAAAGAGCTAGGCTAAACTGAACAAGCATAGTACTTGGCAAGATCTTACTGAGTGAGTCAATGCAGATTTATATCAAGGAAGAGACAAGTCCACTCTGAACACAACTGTCCAAATGATCTTTCTTAAGAATTAATTTCATGATATTTTTTTATTGCTCAAGAGAGAAAGAGGCCATTTCTGACTTCTATTGACTATTCAGTAAGTTTAAAACCCTCGCCAATACAGATTAACTCTTCAAATGGACACGATTTTCTCTGACATTGACCACAGCCACCCCCTGGACAGTCCTTCTGCTCCGGGAGGACACTCACGTTCCCATCCTGTATCTTGCTTGTGTCACTCTGTCTCCTCACCTGGAAAACCTTTGTCCCTTCCAGCGACTCATGTTGTTGGCTTTCAGGAATTCTCCTAAGAAGCCTTCCTGACCTGCTCTACTCTGCAGGACCTGCCACCATGGGGACCTGTACACATGTCCATCTCTGTTTATAGCATTCTGGTAGTTCCCTAGAGGTTTCCTGCTCGGGATGCATCCACAAGCACGGTAAATACCCCTCTGTTTTCCCTTTTTTTTTTTTTTTTTTGGTCTTTCTATAGTTAGTTAGCTCAGGAAAGGGCTGGGCACACAGCAAATACTCAGTGAAATCTTGTGAAATGAATGAACGATACAAAGCATTATCAGCACTTCCCTTGGACCCAGGATCCTGCCCGAAAAACCAGTTTGGAGGCATCTGTAAGATAATGGTTTGCAAGGACATCATCTCAAATCTTTCTTCCTATCCCAGAGGAAATCTAAAGGAAACAGGGAAATGTCTCTAAGGCTACAACCATAAATTCCACTAGGTGACTCTAATGAATCAAGTGAGGATTGTGTCAGATCAATGCTTCAGCAACAGAAATGGATATGAGATCTTTCATTGGAATGGAAAAATGAAAAGTTCGTCTACTAACATTTTGGACATTTTTCAAGATGGTTTAGCTATTGATAACTTGATAAATTTCAGGTTACGGAGCTGTGTTTTCAGGATGCTTCAACTTTAAAAATTCTTTTGGTTAAGATAGCCTGTATGTTTATGCATATATTTATGTGTGTGTGTGTGTGTGTGTGTGTGTGTGTGTGTGCATACGTCTGTGTGCATATATGTATATATATTTAGAAAGGGCTGGAAGAGCATTGCTGTGAAACAGTGGCATGATAGAGTTTATTTGATATGCTTAGTAATTTAAGACATTTCTGTACACATAGCTCTGGGGTACTTGGATAAAGCTTGTGATGGAACTGAAAATGTTTACAAGAGCATTATAAAAATATCAAGGCAATAACTTACTCAATTGTGGCTATATGTCCATAATTGTGAACATAATTCACCATGAAAGCCATGAATAATGACAGAATTCCCTAAAAAATTGTCCCTATTACATCTGAATCATCACACTACACAGTGAACATTTGACATCCTCAAGGAATTCCAAGGAGGGACACTAAATCTGACTGACCATATTGAACCATTAGGATAGAGTTGGATAATTCCACAATCCACAAAGAAATATAAATGTTGGATTGTCTACATACAGTGCTTTTTTATAACACATGCAATATAATTTTTGAACTGAGTATAAACGCAATGGCTGCTACTTGACTCTACGTTCGCTTTTTTGGTATTTGGTTATCATGGGACTTGTAAAGCTCAGGATGAATTCATGCGATGATGACATCTCTGGAACCCGTGTGTGTGTGCCCTCATCTAGTCCCCACACCGCCCATATAAACAGAATGATGCTACCTGAAGCACTCATAATGAGTTACACAAAACCATTTCTGAGAAGTTGTGCCCACACTTCCGTATTGACCATTTACCCCCATACACCATATAGCTAACGGTTTGCTACTACATTGTTTCTTGGCCACCCTAATCCTTCTTAGTTCCCAAGATTTTTATTCTCAAAATCCAGTAAGCAAATTCCCCGGTGAAGGCCTAAGCAATAAGTTATAATTCTTCCCTAAATATTTTGTTTCTGATGAAACCAAAGAGGGAGACAAACCATTAGAGATTTTTAATCTCAGGAAACAAACTGAGGGCTGCTGGAGGGGAGGAGGGGTGGGGGGATGGGGTAACTGGGTGATGGACACTGGGGAGGGTATGTGTTGTAATGAGCACTGGGTATTATATAAGACTGACGAATCACAGGCCTGTACCTCTGAAACCAATTCAAATTAAAAAAATAAAAATAAAAATAAAAATAAAATAAATATTTTGTTTCATTTCCAAACAATGACATGTTAAAATTTTTTGATTCTAAAACTGCCACTCAGAAAAGATTTCTAAGTATTTTTTTAGTTATAAACTTGATATATTTTTATCTGTCACCTATCCATCTACTTATCTCTTCCAACTTCCTGATTCTGTTTTTCTTCTAGTCTTCTAACGTAGGATTCAAATCCATGCTTTAAATAATACAAGCAGCTCTCTGGCCTGGTAGGCGGCGGTCCTTGGTGTGCAGTAGAGTCAAGGGCTCTTACTAAGTCATATGTTCGGGTCTAGTCCCAAGCCCTTGGTCATGGTGCGTGTTCTGGTTTTGGGATCTCAGGCACCAGACCCTGAATCTTCTGATTGTCCCCTTCCCAGCCCTGTATCATCAGCTCTGTTGCTCGTGGTAGGGTGATATTAAAAGGGGAGGAAATTAATCTCTGCCAGCTTCATGGTATACTCCTTACTATTTATAAAAATAGAGGTTTTTGTCCCCTTCGAGGTAGGATAATTTCATTGGTGCTGGAATAAAATTCTTACCTACCTTTAAGAAAGTTCAAATACTAGTATAATTGTGAAGCATATATTTTAAAGAGGATTCTCTTATATTCTTTAATTGGTTAGAAATAATATCTGAAATTAATGTTCATTGCCCTAACAAAAAAGTTTAGAATTAATACTTGGAATACAGATAAATAGGAAAACCTTTTCAGCATATTTTTTTAATATTAATAGCATAATAAGTTTAAACACATTGGTTCTAGTTACTTGCCTGTCATGTTAGAGTTTTTAAAAGAATTGTTTTTGTGGGTGGGGGGCTGGGTCAGCCTGGTGATGGGTATTAAAGAGGGCACGTTCTGCGTGGAGCACTGGGTGTTATACGCAAACAATGAATCATGGAACACTACATCAAAAACTAATGATGTAATGTATGGTGATTAACATAACAATAAAAAATTAAAGAATAAAAAAATTAAAAGAATTGTTTTTGTAGCACCATAACTTTCAAAAAATGCACCTCACTTGTTTCTGATTATAAAAGTCTTGCATGCTCTTTATAGAACATTTAAGATACACTTGCTAACAGATCCAAGAAAACTCTCATAAGAAAGTCTCATTATGGGGCGCCTGGGTGGCTCAGTTGGTTAAGCATCTGTCTTTTGGCTCAGGTCATGATCCCCGGGGTCCTGGGATCGAGTCCCGCATCGGGCTCTCTGCTTGGTGGGGGACGTGCTTCTCCCTCTCCCACCCCCACCGCTCCTGCTCTCTCTCTCTCTCTCAAATAAATAAATAAAATCTTAAAAAAAAAGACTCATTATTTTGTTTTAGCTAACACTTTCCTTATGACCACATATGGACTTCTGAACAGTCTGTAAATTGTTGTAGTCCCGCTTTTGATGTGAGAAGAAAACAACCCAAACTGTAACAGGCAGTTTCACAGTAAAGGCCTAGAGAAGCTTCCATGAGGCACACGGAGGAGAAGGTGACACCAGCACGGCTTGAAAACTGCGCTCGGGCACAGTCGGCCACAGAGAGCTCCCGGGGGGGGGGGGGGGGCAGAGAGAACGCCGCTCTGTGATTAGGACTGGGGGGCTACTGCGGGAAACAGTCCTTTTGCTAATGGTGGTTCTCCACAGAAAAGCGGGTGAAGACGGTGGGGTGGGGGACGGGCCCCGGGGCCTGAAGGAAGCTGTCGGTGCCCTGTTCCCGAGGCACAGCTGCCGGCATCTTCATGTCACAGGCAGAGGCAGGGGAGGCGGTTTCCCTGCTACAGGACCCAGATCAGTGAGAGGAGGCCCCATCCAGAAGGCTGTTTCTTTCTTTACCTAGAACATTCCTACTGGAAACTGTCCGTGTTATTTATCAATATATGCCTTTGGAGATGAGAACGGAAGGTAAAATAGACAAGAAAGCCGTACACACTAGATCCAGAGGCATTTTATTTTACTGAATGCTTTGCGTAGGAATTTTGAGCTCTAATATAAAAAGCACTTAAAAGAAATATTGCCAGATACAGTCATTTTTAAAATTATCCATGCCTCAATCAAACATGGGTTATTTATGCCAAACACGAAGCCCTAACTGGTTTCTCTCAGGCAATAATAATGATCTCTTTCACTACCAGCCAGTCAAGCTGCAGGAAATTTAACAGATTTTCAGTCTTCTTAATCTGAGCAAAACACAACCAGTCAGGTAATTCTGCTCTAACGGTACAATCCCAATCGTTCGAAATTCGTGTGTAAATCACTTTAAAATGTTGTGGGTTCTCTGTACCATTCTTAAATACCGCTCCCTGCTGGAGAGAAGTGAGAACAGAACGCAGCATTTATGATTTTTAATTTCATTTAAGAAATGTTTTAAATTATTTACAGCAATGTTAAGATGGATTCTTCTCTAAATCTAAAAGCACTTGGCACTATAATCCGGATGACACACTATGATTAAAACAAACACTTCCAAGTTAAATTCCTGTAATTGCTAAAAACACTTACCAATGGAAAATTGGAGGACGGAGGCTGTTGTTGTATTAAGGCTTGTGGTTATCTAGAAGAAGGAATATACCAAAATAAGACAACATAGAAACACAGGAGGAGAAAGAGGAAAGGGGGATGAAAAGAGGAAAAAAGGAGCCATAAACAGATGTTGCATTAATCCAGTGGTTAGCTTATTTTCATCAGTATGTCTGAACATAGATACATTTCATGGTGCCCTGTGGGGAATAATGCCGTGAGATCCTGATTTAGACTCTCAGGGTCCTGTTGAAAACCATTTTCCGTGTGATCTACCAGGTAATCTTGTGAGGGCACTTAACACAGTACCCTCCACTCACCCTTCAACCTCCCCCCATCCTAAACCAACAGATCTAGAGCCCAAGCGAAGGCCATAAAAAGGCTCCCAAACAAAAACTGGGAGGCAAATTAAGAGCAAATGAGGAGAATAAGATTATTTTGCAAAGTAAATAGAAATACAATAGCTTACGGTATAGGATTTCGTTAGGGGATGATGCAATGTTCTAAAATTGATTGTAATAATGATTGCAAAATTTTGTGAATGAACTAAAAGCCTTGAATTCTATAATTTAAATGAATGAATTGCAGAGTATGTGGATTATTTCTCAATAAAACTGTTACCTCTCCCAAAAAAGTAATCAAATTATGGGCCTAGAAATATCCTTCCAATACATTTCTATCACTGTCCTTTAATCTCATGAAGAAGCATGCTTAAACAATTTTCCCCCTTCTGAAAGAGGAATGGTACCCTATTTAATCTGAAATCAATTTAAATTTTCAAAAAATTACTTATTTATTCTGTGGAGCAGTGACTTCGACCCATACCAGCTCACATGGGATGAGAATTAGGGTCCTCATTTTCAGTGACTCTCTTGTGGGGTTCCTGACCTTTGTAAGCTAATGAATGGGATGCCTCCTATGACTGCACCTATAAATTATAAAGTGTACAACTGTGTCTTCACCATGGCAAAACCAGTAAGTTTACTTCTGCTTTTTATATGTCATAATATCATCCTTAGATTTATTCCTGCACTTCGTTGGCCCCCATGTGATGGAGTCCACAACTGTGGAAGGGTCAGGAGATACCCAGTTTATGAATCACTGTGGGAACTAGTGGGAAAACAAGTGAGCAAGCTTCTTGTTTTGCCAGAATTCCGCTGAGATGTGAGCATCCAAAGATCAGATGTATGCTTCCCATTTCTACAACACAAATCAGAAAGATGACTGAATGTATGCTTTAAATATGTGACTCTGAAGTCCATGAGGAAGCAGGAAAGGTAAAAGAAGGGAGGGCAAGAGAGACATTTTATAAATTATTAGATTATCAGTATAGATATCAGCTCCTAATTGATTTTAACGGTAGCAAAAATCACTGATGTCAGGGTGTCAGAGCAAATTCTCTGTTTAATTTAAATCCCTCATTATCACAGATTATCTGCTAAAAGAAAACTGGCCCATCATGCCCAGAGCTCTGTTTCCTGCTCTCTTCTCCTCAACTAGAGTCATTAAAGAAAAACGCACCAATTTTCTTTAAATAACTAGGATACCAGCTCCTTTTCAAGATTCCTTTAAAAGGAATCTGTTCCCTCCCCCCTCCACACACACACAATTTTTAGAATAAGTTCAATTGTTTGTCCTCATAGTTTTTCCACTTGGATAATTTAATCTTACAGTCCAAAAAGGCACATGAAAATTTTTAAAGTTTTCACATAAATTGAATGAATGCTCTTTCCACCTCTGATTTTATATAACTGAGTAGATCCCCAGGTGAATCATGAAACACTCCTGAATAGAAGTTATTTGAAACAATGGTATCTTATGTAAGCTAAAAGCACCATGGTTATTGCTAAGGCTGGTGCATGAAATATACCAGAGAGTCTGAGATACCCTGTTGGTGTCACAAATGACACTGTGTCGCCTGCATAATGAAGTTCCACAGACGTGACCGTGGCTAGCAAACAGTAAGTTGCTTGGAATACTGCCAAATTTCAAATTACATGTGCTAACTGAGAGTGAGTGACCCTGGACCTAGATTAGTCATTGATTCTGCATTTTTTTTTCCTCCACCAGGGAAGCTAAGGACTGATAGAATGGCTAACTCCCATTTCTCTACCTTTACCCATTTAGCTCATTAGTAAAAGTGTCGGCTACAAGGAATAGGAAAGATGAAGAGAAAAAAGTAACAGGGAGCATTGCCTATTAAATCTGTTCACCTATGTTTACATTTGGGGATTATAAATTATTTCTTATCCTTGGGTTCACATATGTAATTTTAGTTTGCAAAGTTATTAGGTCTTCACATCTGACATTCTGAAAATGAAAAGAGTCTCTTACATGGCTTTTCATAAATAATACAGCAATTATGAATGTCTGACAGAACTTTTCTCCTACCAAATCTCAGTGGTCTTAAGTTATCAAATAGACCCTAAATCACCGAAAATTAGTAGGACCATAAAATGAATTCGCTACTGGCTGAGGCTGTTTATTCTGCACATCTTCCCTGCAAATTTTGGGGGGGGGGTTATGATGCTGTTTTAGCCCAAACTCCTCCCTGCAACTAAAATGCATTTCCAAATATATGAAAATAATTCAATAAGTAATTTCTTTAAAAAAAAAACAGGGGGTCACATAACCCACCTGTTTCATGCTCTGAGAGAGCACATTTTCTCTTAAAGGAGTGGATAAGTGAATTCCTCATGCCTTTCACTTCGGACCAGCAGAATGAATAAAGTTGGGGTGTCACCACCTGAATATGGAGACCTCACTAAGTTAAATAAAATGTGTGAGGGCTGCAACCACAGCAGCAGTAGGGACATAAATGCCTTGTGTTCTTATGTGACAGCAGGTGCCGCCTCTCACTGACTCTGACTTTTATTGAAATAAAATGCCATGTGACTGAATTCACAAAATGGAGATGCTCTTGCTGGCATCATAGAAGATATTGAATTAGCCTACTAAAGTTCTTTGCCTGTGATCCTTTGTTCCACAACTTCAGTAATTTATGAAAAAGAAGGCAAATTTGTTAAAAAGGGATTTGGGGGGCCGATACCTTTCATCAGTTCTCACACACAACAGTTTTGACTGTATTCAGTCTTGAGTACCAAGCAAATATTTGAATTTTAGCGAACATAATAGCATGTTAACTGACAACTGAATTCCTTCCTTTTCATTTGGTTGATCTGTCTTCTGTAAACACAACTTGGGTACAATATATATTTTTGCTCCTGGGACACCAACACACTATAAAAATTGTTGAAAATTAGAAGTTGCTAGTGTGTAAAATGTGGATGTCATCCCTGTCCTTATTGATGTATCTTCATTCTAGTCCCTTGGAGTCCACAACACAATCCTTTGTACTTATGATGGGAATATAAATCTACATGTCTTTTTTTTTTCTTCCTTGGATGAAGAAAATTATTTCAAGTATTTTCTTTTTTACTTGAAAAGCTAATCTCACATTAATTATATAATACAATTCAAAACTAGCCCATTAGGTACATAAACTCTAATGCTCAATAAACTGAGGAATAGTGAAAACAATCAGGATTAAAATATACATGGGTCAAATAAACTAGATACTTCAGTTTTTAGTTTAGAAACTGTAGAAGTAAGAATTCTAGCATTATATTCTTAGAGATGTTTATTTCTTATTTATCGGTAGAAACAAAAAAGAACTTGCTAAGCATCTCCAGAAATATTACCAAATGGGAGAACATTCTTAAAAAGGCATTTATTCTAAGCTCAATTAACTATAGTAAAATTTTATTTTGTTTAAAGGTTTACAGCTAATTCATTCAGTCATGGTACATTATTTAAAATGCACTAGCAAATCTATTTTTTCAAGAAGAACTTCACTACCACAGTCACATTTGTCTGCAGGAATATTATAACACCTTGTGTGACTTGAATTATGAACATCTATTATTTTAATTTGCATCCAATTAATTCTGTTTGTGTTCTAATTTCAGCTAAAAATTCTTCAATTTGTCAATGTTCTGCAGCTCTTATCTTTAATAAATTAAATGTATCCATTGCCATGAAAGGAGTATTCAAGCAGCATAAAATAAGAACCATGTTATAAAAATTAATTGACTTTCACTTTGATAACTAAATCTTCTTCTAATTGCCTAGCTAGTTTTTCTCCCCTTTGTATTGTGGAAGCCCGTCTTCTGGCCACTTTTAAAGTTAATGAATTTGAAACACAATGTGTTTTGTAGGGGTGAAAAATACAACCTGTTAGAAGCGCTAAAGCTCCAGCTGAAAATCAGAAAAGCAAAGCGTTATAAGAGACGCTCTGAGTAGAACACTTCCTGCAAACAAATTGAGCCAGGAGTATAATATAACAATTGCTTTTATATCCTTTTTCAAGAATGTGAAATGTAATCTTTCTGCCAGAACCAAGTAACAACAAAAGGCTCATTAACTGTATGCCGATGGCTAGTGGTTTCATTGCTTTTAATTTAGAATGCTCATGTTTCATTTTACATATGATGCAAGAACTTCTCTTCGGCAGGCAAAGTCTAATCAGTCTAAATTAAAGGAAAGTAACATGCTCCTAAACAATCTGGCATAAACCAAAATTTGTTCAAAACTAGTTTATTCAGTGCACTTTCACTTCTTAAAAAAGATTCAGTAAACTTCCTCTGTGGTTGGGACACAAAGTTTTAAAATAATGTCATAAAGTTGCTTGTCTAACATTTTTGGCTTGCAAAGAGAATATAGGACAGGTAAAAGTAAAGCTTTATACAAGAATTTAGAAAGCCATAAATTATTTACATATGATAGACACATATGTGTGTCATCTATGTTACATGTATGTCATACTCATATTTTTATATGCAAGTGATTTTATACCCATATTTTTAAAAAGCCATCTAATCATAATGATGCACCATGTGTATCCATTGATGCTGCCCATTTTATTACTGAATTTTTTATTTTTACTTTTGAAAATAAACTATAAAACCACTGTTCCCCATTTTGAGATGTTTGTAATAGGATTCATAATATAAACAATGCTGTGAATTTTCATATGACTTATAAGAGCATAAAAGAATCTTTTGTTGGCAAAATCTCCATAAAGACAGTGTATCTGGAATAATGTACATAAATAGCATGTACTTACCAATTCTCTCGGACCATATGGCTCACAGAAGGTGACAGCATTGCCATGCATAATTGCACCACACTGTTCTCCAGTCTCACAGTTGTTACATTCAACCCTGTGAGAACAGAGAACGCACCCCCAGCCTGAGAATTAAGTAGCACAAAGTGGTTTATTGCTCAGGTAAGGAAAGATGTAAGTTACTGTTAATCGGTTCAAATCAACATTTTGGGGAAGGTTATATTTTTTTTTTTTTGTATTGTGACATGTTTCTGCAACATGAAACCAGGAAGGCTTGAACTAAAATCCCTGTTCTTTTGGTCACTCGCAGTGGTGGGCAAGTTACTTAATCTCCCAAAGTTTTGGTCTTCTCATCTGTACAATGAGGATAATACTGACCTAAATCTCACCTGAGGATTAAACAAGAGAGTGCATGAAACACAGAGTACAGAACCAATCTCCTAGTAGGCACTTAATAATGGCAGATGGTTGTTTTTATTAGTAATTACATATAATATATACCATATCCAATCAAGGATGTTTGCAAATATTAACGTTAAACAAAGTAATACACACTTAGGTAATGAACTAAAACTTGTATCTCTGAAAACACAATATGTTTTACCAATTTTAATTTTCTTTTGAGTTGTTATAAGCATAAATGTTTAAAATTACTGTCTTCAAATAAATCTGAATGTCTATAAAATATACCATGCTAAAAATAATGGAATCAGATTACATTTAATTTACATATTAATATGAAATATATACAAATTCTAAATCAAGCAAATTTTGGATACTGAGTTGATACATTAACCTTGCAAATAATTTAATTAGCTATTTTTTTACTACTTTAAAATGAAGTGGTCAATACAATCTTAGGACAGAATCTCAAATATAAATTTATTCATGTTTTTAGTAGAAATTGAAGGTATGAAAATTCTGGATTTGACTTTGCATATTTACAGTAACACAGTGCTCTGCATGGTGACATCTCAACCTACAATCATTACATACCTAACATGTAGATAGATAATCCATGTTTCCTCTGTCTGAACCTCAGACCACATGAGAGCTATATTTCATGCAGAAAGGACGTTTTCAGAGTTTCACATTCTAGGGGCCAAACATTGTGGAAAGGGCAGCATGCCCTTTGTTTTGGAGATTACCGTGTTTCACCCTTTCAACTATTTGCTAATTTCAGAGAAAGAGGGAGTAGGAATTCCCATTCAAGGAGGAAGAAGACAAAAGTGTAAAAAGATACCAGATATCCCATAAAGCCAAGAAGCAGAAGCACAGTAAATAAGTGAAAACTTAGCAAATAAATGTTAAGTATTTCCTACATGTGAATTGCATGGATTAAGTGATTGGTATTATTCTTTTGAGCTGTGTTCCCATAAGCAGATCAATAATGTCAAGAACCTTTGATTTTTTTTTTTAGAATAAACAGAGAACAATTTCTGATATGAAATTTAAAATGCCAGTACTCATAGCATCACAAATCTTAGTAGGAGATTTAAACCTTCTCCCGATTACTGTGAGCAAAATTCTAAAAAAAATCTTTGACATTAGAAAAGACATAATAGTAGCTTCATAAAGGTGATAAACGGATCACGGTTTTATGCCTGACATGTTGTATTCCACAAATATCTGTTGAATGAAGGAATATAAGAAAACTTCATAAACAGTACTGTTATTAAAGGTTGAGATCTTAGAATAGGACCTGCACAAGGCTAACATGATGTGTTAGTGTGTTAGCTATAATAATAATAATATTAATATATTATATATAATTATAAATTATATTTTATTATAAATTTTCACCATTTTCATCTAGAACTGGTATACTAGGTTTTTTCCCCACAGAGAACCTATTACATGAACTTCTTATTACACTTTTTCTATCTTTAAATTGTACATTAATGTTTTCAAGGAATGTGATTGTGATAAAAGTACAGAAGTAACACAAAAATTTTAGTGGGGTTCTTACTTAGTGATAGATGAGGATTATTTGGCCTCCAGGTCACTGTGAAATGGCTTGAGAGAAACATCAACTTTGAAAGAGAAAAATTTTAAAAATGTTCAACCCTCACAATGACTATCTGCCATTTTCCTTCAGTGACTGTAAACTAAAATCTTCGTTGTTGGTGAAAAGCTGGAAGATTTTCCTCTAAGATCAAAAACAAGACAAGGATGCCCACTCTTGCCACTTTTATTCAACATAATACTAGGAATCCTACCCACAGTAATCAGACAAGGAAAAAAAAAGGCACCCAAATTGGTAAGGAAGAAGTAAAACTGTCATCTTTTGCAGATAACATGATACTATATACAGAAAACCTTAAAGACTACCAAAAAACTATTAGAACCAATAAATTAATTCAGTAAAATTGCAGGATACAAAATTAATATACAGAAATCCACTGCATTTCTATACACTAATAACAAACTAGCAGAAAGAGAATTAAGAAAATAATTCAACTTACAATTGCAACAAAAAGAATAAAATAAAATAATCCCATTTACTATTACATCAAAAAGAATAAAATACCTAGGAATAAGTTTAACCAAGAAGGTGAAAGACCTGAACTCTGAAAACTATAAAATATTTATGAAAGAAACTGAAGATGACACAAATAAATGGGAAGATATACTATGCTCATGAATTGGAAAAATAAATATCGTTAAAATGTACGTACTAACCAAAGAAGTCTATAGATTCAATGCAATCCCTATCAAAATGCCAATAGTATTTTACACAGAACTAGAACAAATAATCCTAAAATTTATACGGAATCACAAAAGACTCCAAATAGCCAAAGCATTGTTGAGGAAGAAGAACAAAGCTGGAGGTATCACAATTCCAAAATTCAAGATATACTAATCAAAACAATATGATACTAATACAGAAACAGATACATAGATCAATAGAACAAAATAGAAAGCCCAGAAATAAATCCATACTTATATGGTCAATTAATCTGTGACAATGGGGGCAATAATACGCAATGGGGAAAAGACAGTCTTTTCAACAAATGGTGCTGGGAAAACTGGACAGCTACATGCAAAGAATGAAACTAGGTCACTTTCTTACATCATATACAAAAATAAACTTAAAATTGATTAAAAACCTAAATGTGAGACCTGAAATCATAAAAGTCCTAAAAAAAAACATACGCAGTAAACTCTTGGACATGGGCTTAGCAATATTTTTTTGGATCTGTCTCCTTAGGCAAAGGCAACAAAAGCAAAAATAAACTACTGGGACTACATCAAACTAAAAAGCTTTTTCACAGCAAAGGAAACCATCAACAAAACAAAAAGGCAACCAAGTGAACAGAAGAAAATCTTTGCAAATGATACATCTGATAAGGGGAAAATATCCAAAATATATAAAAACTTATACAACTCAACACCAAAAAACTAAATAATACAATTAAAAATGGGCAGAGGATATGAACAGACATTTTTCCAAAAAAGACATAGAGAGGGACAATAGATGTATGAAAAGATGCTCAATATCACGAATCATCAGGGAAATGCAAATCAAAACCGAAAAGAGATATCACCCTCACATCTGTCAGAATAGCTAATCAAAAAGACAAGAAGTAACAATTGTTTGTGGAGAAAAGAGAACCACTGTGCACTGTTGGTGGGAATGTAAATTGGTTCAGTCTCAATGGAAAATGGTATGGAGGTTTCTCAAAAAATTAAAAAAAGAAATACCACACAAACTAGTAATTCTACTTCTGGATATTTTCCCAAAAAAAAAAAATATTAACTCAAAAAATATTAACCTAAAAAGATAAATGCACCACTATGTTTATGGCAGCATTATTCACAATGCCAAAGATTCGGAAGCAATCTAAGTGTCTATCAATAGATAAATGGATAAAGAAGATGTGATGCACACACACACACAAACACACATACACACACACAGGAATAATACTCAGCCATAAAAAAGAATGAAATCTAGCCATTTGTGACCACATAGATGGACCTAGAGGGTATTGTTGTAACGGAAATAAGTCAGACAGAGAAAGACAAAGACCATATAATTTCACTTACATGTGGAATCTAAAAAAAAATAGAAACAAACAGAAAGAGATTCATAAATAAATAGAGCTGGTGGTTGCCATGGGGTGGAGGAGGAATGATATAAATAAGTGAAGGGAATTGAAAGTTACAAACTCCTAGTTATAAAATAAATAAGTCACAGGCATATAAGATACAGCATAGGGGGTATAGTCAATACTGCTGCATAATTTTATATGGTGACAGATGGTAACTATACTTATCATGGTGATGCATTTCATAATGTCTATAAATGTCAAATAAGTATGTTGTACACTGGAAACTAATATAATATTATGTCAACTATACTTCAATTTTAAAAATATAAGATAAACAGGCTAATTAATTAATAACAGAAGCATCACTGATGATACGAAGTCTGAGGCTTGAGGTTTGAATTCCCACAGCAATCATCATTCTACCTACAAATATTGATCATCAGTTTCCAAATCAACTGTATATCAGAAAAGTAACACACTCCCTTCCCTACAGCTTTTATGAAATGGGATTCAGGTGCAACCTAGAAGTCTGTATATTGTTTCAGGGTGATTTTAACATAGATGGCCTACAGTCTGGCATTAAGGAACCAGTGATTAGATAACAGACGTGTGATGCGTTTGATTTTGATTTTGATTTTGTAAGATAACAGAAGTTAAACACAAGAAAAAGCAAACAGATAACAGCCCTTCTCCCCACTTGGCTCAACAAGCCTTCCACACCTTTTTCTTCTTCATTGTGCTATATAGATCCAGAAACTTGAAATAAAATTTATAAAGTCATTGGTACCCTGTTGAACTTAAAGATTTAGAATTACCATGTATTTAGAATTACTCACTGGGCTGCTGCTACTTGGAAGAACAATGGCTTCAACAAGGATTGATGGAACAAATCCATCAACTTTCTACCAACGTCTTTTAAATGTCCTTTGCTTGAATTTCTCAGTCTGAGAAATTTATTTATAATTTATCCTGAATGCCCATGCCTCTGGGTGGCCAAATCCAACAGACTCTTGGCTGCCAATGTGTTATTTATTCATTCATC